CCCCTCCTCCCCGGGGCTAAGTTTCAAACAGGCAGACACACAACAAAGTTTCCCCGTTGGACCACTAGTTCGATTATGGATCTTTGACTTTCTACCTTGAAAAGTGGGGACCCCCGTGGCCGATGGAAGTCTGGCAAACAGGCCCTACCCTGTTTTGAGTTAAGCCTCCATCGGCTAGCATGGCTCCCAATTCTGAGGTCGGTCTCCGGCTCGACACGCAGATTCAGAGTGGGGCGGGGGGAGGCAAAGCAAAGGGAAAAAAAAAAACAGAATTAGACATTAAGACCCTCTTCCTAGCCGCCTTTGTACTGTATCGCCAGGTCAGATCGACAAGAGGATTGCCAAGATAAGTCCTTACAATTTCTCTAAAAGGGCAGATCTCTCGGCTATTGTGTTCCAAACTTTATGAGACTTGAAAGGGAAGCTGTAGAATCGATGAAGGTAAAAGAGCGAGCGAGAAATTTAAGCGAGAAGTGACGGTAAGAGTCATCATCTAGACTGATGAAGGTGCAGTATCTTTGATAGCGCACGTACCGTTACTATATATGTCGAGTAACATGAACAGGATCTGATCGCAATGGTGCTCGCAAGGCTACACAGCGAGGACGAGCTTCAGGAATATATATATTAGTTACCTACTGTCTTGTACATGTCAAGAAATAGCGGTACCTAGATAAAACTAGCCATATGTGGTAAAGAGTATATATGTATGTATTGCATGTGTCGACTTGAACATGTCTGGAGGACAGCAAAAAGAGACTCGAGGATAGTGTCTAATTCAAACAGGGTATATTTATTTGAAGTACTATTGGCTGGTCAAGTAATCTCAACTTTGGTACCTGACATTCGACAGAAGTCGGGGAACTATGGCCATGCTTAAATGACTCAAAAATATGGCTCGACATTAACCATGGATGATGGTGTTCAAGGAGGGTACGGGTACGTACCCCCAGTTGAGTTTGACCCCCAGAGAAGACCGCCTCGTGGCGGTGGCCCCTGTGTCCCATTTCCATGCAGTAGTGCCGCTTCTCTCGAGGTCTAGTGCTTGACTAGACTATTACTACTACTACCTGATGGATTTTATTCAGTATCTATTCTTCTCCGTCTTTCCTCCGAGAGTAGATCCCCAAATTTCTGTTAACTACTCCGCAATATCCGCCAGTTCGAGAGTCACGGCCGCTGTCATATGAATGCAGTTGGTATGACTTTACCCGGTCTCTAATCACCTTAAAAATATCACTCGTGTTCACTGCTGGTAGTAACAGTGCATAAATCGGATAAAACTTCTCCAGTACTCTCCATTCTTTATCTTTCTTTACTTTTTCTTTCTATTCTATTTGGCAGTTACACCAAACCGTTAGTGAGCCAACATCAAGACTTCCGATGTGATGTTATTTGGTCAAACATATGTAGAGACTGTTTCCTTTTTCAGGATTGAAACCAAAAGCATGCCAGTGTCTGTGTGTATACAGCGTGTGTGCAATATAGGCAAGAGGGCTTAAACGCTGTCAGTACAGGGTTACATACTTCTGTATTTTCATTTTTCGTTTATTTTTATTTTTTATTTTTTTTATTTTTTTTTAACTTATGATGGCATGGTACAGTACCTGATCTGGATAAGAAGGGGGGGGGGGGGGGGGGGTGAGTGACTTGGGACTGCACCATGCACCATGTGTTGAAGTTTCCGTAGAGTCGGTCATGACCACTTTAAATTTCTCCCATAAATCTAAAATTTCCCAGTGGGATGAACCGTATGTGTCAATCAACCTCGTCATAAATCCTCCTCTTAGCCCTGATCAACTCTGTTACTCTCGACTTATTTTATTTCTCTCCCTCTAAGCGACTGGCAGTGGATTACAGGGACGGTCATCTCCGGTTTAGGTAGTAGTATAATACGTCCTTCCATATCGATTCATCCTCTTTTATTTTTGCTTTGACTATCGATTTAACCCTTCTTCTTCCAAATATTATGATCCAGGACCTTTATCCCTTTTCAAAACGTTTCTGATCACCTGGGTTAGAGTATATTGACGAGTCTCTTCCCTTTGTCTCGCGTCTTAATACGGGACTTGGTACGGGAACTATCAACTCCGACGCAGTAATTTTTTACCTGTCTGCTGCATTTCCATTTTCTTTCAGCCATCCTCGATTCCGCTGCCGCCCCAACCTATTAGCACCTATAGCTTCCGCGACTAGATTGCCTTAGTCCTTCCCACTTGATCGAGTTCCAAACTTCTTGGAGTTCCACTGTCTGAGGTACACTCCTCCTCCGTATTCCTTCTTCCCAGTTGCTATTATTATTATTACCTATTCGCAACCCATTTTTTTTCTTCTTAATTTTCCTTTTTCCTTTTTCCTTTTTTTTCTTTTTTTTTTTTACCCTCTCACTTTCTGATTCCGATCATCTTTCCCTCTCACACTCACAATTGATTCGACCGATTTTGTCTCTTCCTCTGGAGGAATACTTTCTTCTCTCTTCCTTCCCTTCCTTTAATCTCCTCCCCCCGCGCCTCTCTCTCCCCGAGTCCTGTCTTCAACCTCCCACCCCCGGCGCAAGTCTATACTACTTTTCCGCCGGTCTTAATAAAGTTCTGCTGGCCATCATCGGTCGGGATCTTTGCCCTAAACAGCGTGCTTCCTGCCCAATTGTTTTTCCTTTGGATTTTGTGCCACGTTCCGCTGCGCCTCTTAAGCGTTTGCGCTTCCGTTTTTAAGGTAAGCTGCTGTCTGTGAGATTCATCATCTGCGAACCCATGGCCCGGCGTTATTGGCTCTGCCTGCTACCGTCTGTACCTAATTTCCGCATCTCATGCTGACGTGAAATTGCATTGTTATTTTCAAGGGAAGAAAATTCGCCTTTTGCATTTTATTTAGAAACATTTTTCTTTTTTCTTTTTTAAAACCCCCAAATTTTCCACCCAGTGTTTCGACAGTACACTTGGTTTCGGTCATTCCTACCACGTTATTTCCACCACCCCAACCGTCCATCCTCTACTACCCGTCCAGACTTGCTCTTCACAACCCATACTTCTCGTCGACGTCCTTATAATATATTCCGGATTTCTAATATCGAATTTGATTTTTGCCAGTGGAAAAATTTCTGCGTGGCGGATTTTGTATTTTGTGGGTCGACGTCCGACTGGTTCCTGGTTGACGGATATCCTCCGTGTCGCATTGCCGAGTCACGCCTAGACATCACGGGAAGAGTCTCTTTTGGTCTCTTACACAGGGCTCTGGATTGCAGGGAGTATTCTGCAGGGTATCCGGAAATAGAGAAGCAACCTGGAGGTACGCTCTCTGGGCGTTTCTACGACAGCAAATCGCCACTGTCGAGGTCTGGAACAACTGCCAGCGACACGATTCTGCGATCATTTCTCGCGACGACGGATATTCTATCGTCTTGAAAATCAGACCGACAGTTCGACCCATCTGACTGCTTGCCTACCTGTTCGTGGAACATGAAATAAGTGCGCTCGAATTTGGTCTATCCTAGAATCAGTACCAGGACGCTCGTTCATACACTATTCCTTTTCGTTTTCCGCATTGGCACGCATACCGTAAATAATCGACCATGGAAGCCACGCTTACACATCGGCCGTGGGAGCCTGCCACCAATGGACCCCGAACCCCTACAGTATCTTCATCGCAGACCCTCCCCTCGATATCGACGTTGACAGCGAGTATGACCACCACCGCCGCTCCTCCAGCGGAGAAGTCGCCCGGCAATGTGTCGTTGAATACAATCGAGCGCGATTCGGGGAATTGGTCAATGCCTCAGAGCACAAGTAAAATCTCCACATTACCTTCGTTGGTGAAGGAGTGCTGACACGATTTGTTCAGGATCCTCTACCTACTCCACTGCGACAAACGGGACCGGTAACTACCCTTCTCTTTCATTCCTTACGTCCTCTCAGCCGTCTCCCAATCGCGTGTCCACGGTCTCCGATCGATCTCCTTATCCCAACGACCATTCGAACGCCAATACTCCTTCCTCCTCGGGTGCACAGCCATCTCCGAACTTTGGCTCGGCGCAGCCAAATCCAGCGCTTCCGTCCATTAACCAGAACTATGACGCGCCATCTCAGAGAGGTAGCATTGCAGAGCCCGCAGAGTCACGACGGAGCAGTATTGATAGTCGGATGAATCAGGGAATAAGCTCCCTTGCCATAAACCCCGCTTCTCCCTATCATAGCACAAACGCGTCGCAGACATCGATCGTCTCGGGGTTACAACGGGAGCGTGGAATATCTATGGATGTGAATATGAATAATACTTACCGAGGCCCCCGGTATTCTGGGGGGCAGCCCCTCTCCCCTTTGGGCCCACGGGCTGGCGAACATCGTGGATTTGCGGCTGGCCGCACTGCCCCTGCGATCTCGTCGAACCCTCGCTCAGAAATTTACAATGCGGAGGCGCCCACAGCTGGTCTTGCATACGCTTTCCCAGATCCGGATGTTGCACGGTCCAATTCGATCTCTTCCACAACCGAAAAGTCGAACGCACAGTTTTGCAGAAAAGGAAGCACGGCGGAGTCCTTTTCAAGCAGCATCTACTCGGATTCCCGTTTGCCTCGTGGTCAGCATGGTATGTCAAGCTGTGACATTCGGCAGCATATGCCGGTCTGTGGAGTTATCAATTACTGATCATGCTTCAGAACTCCCTCAAAATGTCCACCATCATTCGCTACAACACAAGCAAGTTCGTGGACTTATTGGAGAGGCCGACCTACACGGCGGTAGTACCCCATACAGCAGGACACCTGAGCTGAGGGTGACACATAAGTTGGCGGAGCGGAAACGCCGTAGCGAGATGAAGGATTGCTTCGAGGCTCTGCGGATGCGTCTTCCGCAAAGCCAGAACAACAAGTCGAGTAAATGGGAGACTCTTACGAGAGGTAACGATACATTTGCCTATGTCTATATATAGTTACCATACTAACTCTTTGGTAGCAATTGAATACATTGGACAACTGGAGAAGATGCTGAGCAACGCTCGCCGGGAGAACGATCTTCTCCGGACCGAAGTGGACGACATGCGGGCCCAGCTTAACCAGCAGCAGCAACAGCAACAAGCTAATGGGCAATCACGACCGCAGTCAATGTTCGAGCATCATTCGATGGCCACATCACAGGCTAATGGGCAGTCACATGGCGCCATGTTTCCTGGTTACGCCCCGGGCGCCGGGATGACGCAGGAGCAGCCACGGACTCTACCGCCTCTGATGAATGGGTCTGTCGCACCAATGCAAGGTGTGCAGTACACTGATGAGCGACGGTAATACAAAGGAAATCTTCTCGACGCGATTATTTTTATGACATGGCTGTGATACGAATATGTCGGTCCTGAGCCTGTTCCATTCAGCCTCTTGCGCCCTGAACGCGGAAACGTCACCTTTTTCTCATTCTGTAGCTCACTTGTAGATTTGGTTCGGGTGGTTCCCCCCTTCTTATTTTTTATTTTTTATATTTTTTTTTTCTGAGCGCGAACATTCCGTCTCACCATCGCCGTGCCTTTTCCTGATTTCCTTCAGTGGCAGACACTCTGCCGCGGTGTCTTATTGAACTTGGCCTCGACGTCTTTATCTCCCTTTTTATTTTACTTTTTCTTCATAAACTTTCGCATCATGATTCATCTATTCGCATCGGAGACGGGATATCTGGGATTTGGATTTGGATATGGGAAGTGTATGTTCATTATGTTTGTCCTCACTTTGACACAGTGGGTGCCTTTATAGTGCGTGTGTACCAAAACGAAAAAGCGCAAACCAGCTTGGAATAGGAGTGTGTATGGTGTTTCAATTGATATCCCCAAGGTCTATGTGATTATCATGTTGATGAAGCGTCCTGAATGGTTATTGGGACCAAATGTGAATTGATTGATTGAACGTCCCCCGAAAGCAACCTTTCTCGCCAGAAGTTGGCACGAGTGTTCCATGAGTCATTGTACATCTAAAGCAATTATCCGCTGTCCAATTTATTTCAGGTGATAAATGTGTATACATACGTATACTTGAAGTATTTGGGGTCCATCAGTGTCGGATCTATTTTTGTCTCAGGAGATCTCGCGACGCCTGATTGGCGCTCGGGAGCTTCACGGCCATTTCTTCAGTGTCTTGGATAAGCGCCGTACCCACGACTCCATCATGGCGGCTACAAACATTCCTGCATCTTTCCTTGGGCCAATATTTGATCGAACTTGGACCCCCGGTCTGCATTTAGCAGGGGTCACCAGAGCTTCTCGTCCAATGAAGGCAGCTCAAACATCATCAGCTCCCGCATGTACTATGGAGCACGGAGATTTAGCATTCTGCAGAAGAGAGATGCCCAATGAAATGGATCGAGGTCCTGAGCGCTGATGTATGAGCTCCTAGACTAATAATAATTAATGTGAGTTACTTCTTCAGCGAATGTCTTCCCATCCGATTTGCTCTCTTCCATCGGACGACTTCCTCGCGTCACTGTTCTTGTGATTATATTCTTTCTCCTCCCAATCTGCCCTTTCTCATTCAATTTACGCATCTCAGCTACAAATTCGACCCCAAAAACATACTCAGGCTTTTCTTAAATCAGGACTGGAAGGCAGAGTTCCAACATCTGATTAACACAATCACGCTGTCACTTCGAAGTACCGCTGTTGTCTTTGTCTTATTGACAGACACCTCCCCCCAATTCACTCTCCCAAATGCTTTGTTGACAGGGATAATACATTGTTAATGTGTTCCTTTGTCTATTGTATGGAATACCCGGCTTGGATGGACTATTAGACCCGGCACCACGCCCTTATGTCTATGACATTTTCTACTGGTCCGTGGAGAAGCGGTTTGTTTTAGTTGATATACATATCTGACTAAGGTATGTCGCCCTGTGGTCACGCCAATACTTCGGTTCTACGTTTTCTATAAGCCGGCTTCCATTGACAACGCACAGGACGATGGGTTGGAAGCGCCAGAAGCCGCAAGCTGAGCTGCGGATTCCCCCAATCCCGACTTTTCCCTTGTCGTCCCCAATCACAGAAGAGGTTGTCACACCGATCTCCTCGTCCCCGGATGAGCGAGACGTGGAAAAGCTTCGTCCCTTCGATCATCTGGGGGCAAAAGTGTCCAGCCAGAACCCCTTTGCTCGCAAAGTAGAATACGAACAACGGCAGGAGGGCAAGGAGCCGATGCGCGAAGCCAATAGTTACTACTTCGTGCAAAGGGCGGCAGAGAGTGCGGGCGATCCGAAACCAACAATCAAGAAGAATCCTGAGCGGCCCGTGGGATTGAATCTGGTCACCGATTTTTCGCTAGCAACACCGAAACCCTGGAATGATACGCCGGAGGAAGGGTTCGTAGATCCAAATGATCTCAAGGTCCTTTCAAAGGAAAGGGCCGAAGAAAGGTCGACGCAGAAGGTCAAGAGCATCCTGAAGAAAGGAACAAGTCAAAGATCCCAGCGACTTCCCGACGAGCCCTCAAACCCAGCGAAGAGATCTGCCTTGTTTGACTGGAGACTTAGCGGCTCACCAAAACGGAGAGGCAAGGACGACTTATCTCCATCAGACCGGCCGATAATGATTGGGTTCAGCATGCCACGCGAGGAACCCACTGTTTCGCGGAAAAGATATTCTAAAGAGCTTGGCATTATAGATACCCAGCAGACGCCGCTCACGCCCTCCATAGTTGTCACCCCGGCAAAGGAGGATGACTTTTGGGCAGGCTTTAGCCAAGTTTGCAACCCTCCTAGAGTCGCATCTAGTATTTACTCCCAACCCACTCCGTGTATAGAAAGGAGCGAGTTAGATATCCCGCCTGTACCTGCCATTCCAGCAGAGCATGTATCAGCTAAGAATGAAGTCGCGGACCAAGAGACTCTTAAAAGGCAATCTGTGACATCTAGGAAACAACGTGCATATTCCACGGGTACGGTCTTCGAGGAAGACATCCAATCGCGGCCGGGGCTTCGTTCAAGGTCATGCTCCAACGGAAGCGTTAAGAACGCTTTTGATCGTTTGAGTGGAATCGACAGAATGAGTCGATTGAGTGTTAATACCGAAGTTAATAGGCACCAGTCCCAGGGATGGTGGACATACCTTCTGTCGCCTTTATTGGGTCGTTCCAGCACAATGACTAGCCGAAGAACATTAATCGACGCACATCCACCTCCTGTTCCCAGTATCGCCACCCATTTGACAGGATCAAGTGATGAGTGGTGGGAGAAGGAGGTATCGTACTTTTCACCTGATACACCTGAAGAGACGATGGCCAGTCGAGGTATCTCCGACTGGCAGCCTACTCAAAACAACCCTTTCGCCGATGACAAAGCTGTCGACTGGCACACGCAGGAGCCAAGTGACCTGAGTAGCGCAGCGTTTGTCTTTCCCGATCAAACGGTTCAGGGCGCCGCTGCCGAGTACTATCATGCTTGTGCACACGAGCTGTTTACGGGGAAACCTTATTTCGAATGCATCAACCATGTCTGTTCGATAACTCCTAAAGACCAAATTCCAGTCCACAGTGCAGATACCACAAAAGACAGTGGTTCGGGTCCAAGAGGTGTGCTTATTGATGTGGATGACGCCTCCAAACCCGTTGACAAAGAACCCGACGGTTCAAAATCTATAGTCATTCCTGCCACAACTTCCTGGCCTCCGTCAACAGCCGTCGACAAACAATCAGATACCCCCGTGGAGAGCCCGAAGGAAGACAGCAGTTCAAAAGACGATACGAGAGCTCCTCCCGAGGAGGATTCTACTAAACCAATCTCCAAAGAGACCATTAGGGAACCAGCACCTCCAGCGGGCAACCAAACTGAGACTAATCCTTTTGTTCAACCGGCTCAGCAAAGTAGCACCGTTCCGCCGCCAGTCACGAATGTATACATTCAATATACCCCTGCACCGTCTTCTGCTCCCACCACTACTATTGAACGAGTTGTGCCTCAGTACATAGTAGTTTCTTCTTCAGACGAAGGGACGCAAAAGCATGAAGTGCAGCCGCAAGCACAACCGCAATCTCCCGGTCCTGTCTCCCCTGGCTTACAGCGAGCAACGGAAAAGACAGGCTCAATCCCTCTATCTGACATACACTCTACCCCGGCGCCTGTGTATACGTCTCATCGTAATACTCCCGCCACGTTACCACCCCGTGTGGATCCCCTTCCGATCACACGGGGGGCAATGACAAATCCAGTTACAGAAAGTAACAGAATAGAGTATCGGCGAAGAAGGCTCGAGAAGGAAGATGCGGCCGGTAGGAAAGCTGGTGGACTATGGCGCGGTAGGGGTTGCTTCAGCAACAAGGGATGTTTTGGGAGACCTGGACGTGAAGGACGACTGAGGCGCCGGTGGTATGCGGCCATTGCCTCATTCTTCATTATCATTGTCGTGGTCGCTGTTATTCTCGCTATAATGCTCACCAGAAGGGGGGACGAGACACCTGTCCAGTCGCAATGGCTGAATTTAACCGGCTATCCACCTATGCCTACAGGCATTGCAACAGTTGCTGGGCCGGAGCCACAAGTGCAAAATTCGGGCTGCATTACGCCGTCGACCCTCTGGAGCTGCGCCTTGCCCAATGAACAGCAGTCAGCCAACAAGCCTTATGCTGCAAACCAACCTAATTTTCGCGTCGAGGTTCGTTTTAGAAATGGGACATATCCGAATAGCACGACTGTTGCGTCGAAGTCTAGCAAAGCAAAAGCTTCTAGAAGATCTGATAACCTGTTCAGCCCGTCGCCATCCCCGCCAGATATGAAAGATCAGACATTTCTGGGCAATACCACTGATAAGAACAGCGTTCCCTATGCGGGCGAAGAGACGCCCTTCTACATGACAATACTCTCCCCTCTCCAGATTTCCACCTCACAACTGTCACGAAGATCAGACAATTCGTTCCCTGACATAGAATCTCTCATCCCATCTCCAGACCTAAACTCCGACGGCACTGCGGCAGCTGCAGAGCTCTACCCTCTTCCTGAATCACAGCCCGTGCGACTATACAATCGCGGGCAGGACACCGAGCACTACGGCTTCTACACCTATTTCGACCGGTCGATTTTCCTTGAGTCATCTGCTCCACTCACGGACAGCAAGAACGATGATTTTACAAGCGATGCGAACGGCGGCCCAAGTAAAGCACATGCCCGAGTCAGGTGTACCTGGGCTCAGACACGCTTTCTCGTCCAGATCTGGACTCGCCCCGGAAAGACCCTCCTCAGTAACAGCTCAGCTGCCAGCACAACACCAACGCCAACCTACACAGGAACTAGCAATCCAACTAGCTCTAACTCCGCTACTGACTTCGTTCGTCCCGGTTCTTTCCCGTATCCGATAACGATCACTCTAGATCGGCATGGCGGCTCGATCAAGAAGAAGATGGTGTACTGCTACGGTATGGAATCAGATCAGCATGTCAACTCGACCGAGGCGAAACTACAAGTAGAAGATCGCGGGTTTGGCGGTCAACTGATCAACTCGGCACCTGGAATTTTTAATATGTCTGATTCTGCTTTGAGTGCGTCGGGTTATGGTGGTTTTGACGGTGGAACTGGGGGCTGTTCTTGTCAGTGGACGAACTGGATTTCTAGGTCGTAGGTTGGTAAGATGGGGTATTGCCAGCTATCTTCTCTGTCGCTCATTCTTACTCTACTTTTTCTCCTTCCATCTAAAATTTCCAGCATTACCTGTTCATGAGAATCTTTTGTAATCTATGCCAGATACTATTCTCAACTACATGAGGCATTCACACTATATAGACAAACCAAACGTCATATTGCATACACGCCTGAAACTGCGAGATCATTCGGATGAGAAAAAATCCAGAAATTGACAGAGATCACTCGATCAACTCCAGAGTGGGCTATTATATAGCCACGGTTCCAACAGTCTAGTCAAGCCGATGCAATAAATATGACGTGTCTGATGCCATCAATCAAACCAAGATCAAGTTTCCCTTCATTCCAGTCGCCAACACAAGATGACACCGGAGATGCAGCGTGACACAAATCCCTCGCTAAGGTAAGACGGGTAGCTGATTTGTTCTAGGTCGCGAGACACCTTCTATTTGGAGGAAAAAGGAATTCAAGATAGACCCTTATAAAGAAGCAAGCGTCTCTGCCGAGCAGAGCTTGGGGGGAAACAAGAAAATGGTATAGATTCACAATGGCAACAAGCAGCCTCACAGACCACCAACCGTGGTATCAACGCTTCCAATGGTTCAATTTCTCCATGCTGGTTCGCATCCCACTATGGACTTTTATCCAGTCACTTTGGGTTCCTTTGGTCTGGAAAACTCTAGTCCTGTCAGTGGTGTACTACTTATTGTCGCTGGGCTCTATAACAGGCGGTAAACTACTCTCTACCCTAGAACATTAAAAGGCCAAGAGGGGGGGGACTAACAACACCACAGAATACCACCGCCTATGGGCCCACAAATCTTACACAGCATCCACTCCCTGAAATGCTTCTCGCTGCGTTCAGCGCCGGGAGTCTCCAAGGCTTCATCCGGTTCTGGGTGCGCGAGCATCGTCTCCACCACCGACACACAGACACCGGTCTAGACCCGTACAGCGTGAACAAGGGCCTCCTCCACACGCACATCCTATAAACTCTCCTCCGTCCGCCACAAAACGAAAGAAATAAGCGAGCCCGCATCAGCCTCTCTGATATCGACCACGACCCTATCGTCGTCTGGCAACATAAGCACTACTTCCTAGCTGCCTTCGGCATGGGTTGGCTGCTCCCCTGTCTGGTAGCCGGACTGGGGTGGAACGACTAGACGGGTGGGTTTCTCTACGCTGGCGTGCTGCGAGCTTTCTTTGTCAATCAGGCTACGTTCTGTGTGAATTCTCTGGCACATTATCTAGGCCATCAGCCGTGTGATGATCGACATACGCCGCTCGATCATCTGCTCACAGCGCTGATTACCCTCGGCGAGGGATTTCATAACTTCCATCATGAGTTTCCGTCGGACAGACTGGGGGACGCCGCTGGAGGAGCTTCCTGTGATTGGTTGGACGGAGTATCGACGGAGAGTGGAGATGGGTCAGGTGCTTGTCGTTGTTGAGGGCGTCGTGCATGATCTTGGGGCGTTCCTAGCTGAGAATCCGGGGGGTGAGGCTGCTGTTAAAGGTATGTTGGGGAAGGATGCTACGGCGCTGTTTAATGGCGGCGTCTATGACCATTCTCGCGCGGCTGTGGGTTGCGGTGCTGAGGGGTGGTGGGGAGGTGGAGCGTTGGAAGTAGAAGGGTTATTTTTGCGTTAAATATGGCTGGTAGAGTTTGTAGTTTCTTCTTTTTCTTTTTTTTTTCTTTTATTCTATTGTGTTTCATAGAAATCCTCTGCACATACACGGAGTAGATGCTTCTTAAGAATCTTAACTGCAAGTTTTATAGTCACAAGACCACCACATATCGTAAAGAATTGCCTGTATAAACAAAGCCCATGCTCTCCAGCATCTTTCTACACAAATAAAATCAACATATTCCAGACCCACTAGTCTCCAAGGATGCAACCTCCAGTAGGCAGAATTGTTTTATTCCCCAGAAACCCTCTATACCCAATCGGGATGTCGGGGACAAAAACACGAAGTCCAGTCAAGTATAAGTTAAGCAAGAATGACTCCAAATAACCAACCTTAGACCAGTCCTCCTTCTCGAACAATAAGAAAAGAAAGAAAGAAAGAAACCAAAAATGACCACCCTAACCCCCCAAGAAACCGCCCTCCTTGAAACCGCCACAAAAACAATAACCAGCATCAAACCCTCCAACACGCACAGCGTTGCCAGCGCCGTCCTCGCCTCCGACGGCCGCGTCTTCTCCGCCGTAAACGTCTACCACTTTACCGGCGGCCCTTGTGCCGAACTCGTCGCCCTGGGGAATGCTGCCGCGGCTGGGGCGGAGACGCTCACCCATATTGTGGCCGTTGAGGATACCCGGCGTATCTTGAGTCCCTGTGGACGGTGTCGGCAGGTTTTGTTGGACTTGTGGCCGGGGATTAGGGTTATTGTTTTGGGGAATGATGGGCCTAGGGTTGTTGGCATTGCGGAGTTGTTGCCTTTTGCTTATTCGTGGCCTGGGGAGGAGTAGGTTTTTTTTTTTAAAAAAAAAAAATATATCTACTTTTCTTGATGCTGTTCTGGTTGCATTCTGGGGGCTGTGGGGTGAGTTAGAATGTATGTTGGAAGGTTTGGTTATACTTGTTTCTTCTTATCTCTGTTGAAGTTGCGTTTCAGGCTATGCTTGACATGTGGAAGGAGAGTTATTGTGAATGCCAGTCTATTATTATTATAAGATTAAGTAGATGATCTAAAACGCCAAACCCTAACGCCCTAATAAATTTCCCATGTTCTTTTTCGAAAAGAGGGTGGAGAATTTCAAGCCATTAACCGTGAAAACCCGGAAGTAGAAGTACTATATGTCAAGGAGAAATATCATCAAATGGTCCCGCGTCGTCAACATTTCTGCAATATCATCTTTTACATGATACTGCTTCGGAGCGGAGATCACCATCGTCGAAAGGAATGCCGCTTATACCATCAGCATAAGTCCAATGGCAATGCTGGCGACAGCTGTGAGACCAGGAATGAGGAGCTTGGAGCCGGGGCTGGTAGGAGCGAAGCCAGTGGACGTTGGCTTAGCAGGAGCGCCACCGCCGCCAACAAAGTTTCCACCACCGGTGGTGTGGCTAGAAGAAGTAGAGGTCTTCGGGATGGTCGAGTTGGCGAACTTAGGGAAGCCTGAGCTTGCGGAGGGCTTCGGGGTCACAGCAGGAACGGTAGCGTTAGCACCTGGGACAGTTGGCTGGGCAGCGGGAACACTGGGCTGGGCAGCAGGGGCAGTAGTCTTGATAAGAGGGACGCTGGACTGAGCAGGCACCACTGGAGCAGCAGACTCGGCGGGAGCAACGGGGGCGGCAGACTCGGCAGGCACCAC